AAAGAAAGAAAGAAAGAAAGAAAGAAAGAAAGAAAGAAAGAAAGAAATTATATGAATAGCTTACTCAGGACATGTGATTCTGGGCAATATACAAAGGAAAAGGAAAAAAAAAAACCCAGAATCAAGCAATACAATATATCACATTAAAGCTTATTAAAATAATAAAATGGTGATTAGAACTGAAATCTTCTATAGCTCCATTCCCTGCTGTAATAATTAGTTTCCCCGCTTTGAACTCAGCCTGGCAACCAGTGCAGATTCTTTTAGTCAGCATATGATCTTTGTATCCTATGTATACCAATTAGCAAACTCAGGAAAGCAGAGGCCTTCAAGTCAATAGTCAGTAAAACTACTGGGCTGATTCCTGTAACTGTGCAGAGGAGTCCCTGATGTTTTCTTGAACGAAGTGTCTTGCTTCTTCCTAGGGTTGGAAGTCACTGGTCCAAGGTCACCCAGCTGTTTTTGTGCCTAAGGCTAGACCCCATCTTGTCTTGGTTTCTGGCTGGTGCCTTACCAACCACATCAAACTAGCTTTTATTTAGCAGCTTACCTTCTGCATTTTTGTCTTTGTTACGCTTTCCAAGAATAGATCACATAGAATAGGTAGTCAGGCTGGGATGTAATCTCAGTATAGATCAGGGTATAGTTAAACTCAAAGCCTGAGGGCCAGATCCTGCCCATGGGGTGCTTAGATCTGGCCCATGGGGCTGCCATGGAAAAAGCAAAGGATGGGACCATGGTGCCTTTACCAGAAAAAATAGGTCCCAAGCTCCCTTTCTGCTGCCAGAGAGTTGCAGCAGACTGTCACAGTCAAAAAACGGAGCTCAGGAGCCTTGACACGAGTGATGTCCATCCTGACCACACCCACTCTGTCCCCCTGAGGTCAAACACAACCCTGATGCGGCCCTCAATGAAATCAAGCTTGATCTCCCCTGGTATAGATTATTATCAACTAATCTCAATTTAGAAAGGGTTGAAAGTGAGTCACTAAGCGTAACTGTGCAAATATATCCTGTATCACAGCCTCACCCTGTCTATTCAGTGATAGTTGAGGATTTCCTGCCACCAACATTCTCAATATATAATCTTTCCTGCTCTTCCAAAACAGGCTGAACCTCAATCCTCAGATCCAATTCCAACAGCACCTCCATCTTGTCACAATTTAATTTTAGTTAGTTCACCCTCCTCAAATTTAGACAGCATTCAAAGGTACAGGTTGCTTCCTTGGTGTTGGATGATGAAAAGTGATAGAGCGGTATTTCATATAATAGTTCCTCTTCCAAAGCTCCAGATGAATCCCCTCAGTGGTTTAATGGAAATGTTCCAGCTTTATGCACCCATGTCATCCCTCATTTACATTCCCTTTTATCAGTCTGATAAAAGAAGACCTAATATTAAGGACATATGGATTACTATAAATCTGGTCAGTTTTACTCTTTTCATTAGAAGGGCTGCATTTTACTCTGTCAGATAATTTTTATCCTAATTTTTAAAAGATCTGTAAAAAGAATTTGTCAGGTTTCCCAGTAACAGACCCAATGCAATCAAACCCGTGAGGCCTAGGTGTTCCTCAAAGTACAGATTTATTAGGCACCTCATATTGGTACATCTGGTGAAAACCCGACTCTAAAGATCCTGTGGTTTTTCCACCCAAATTAAAAGTCAAAGTTTGTTTCCCAGTCCACATGTCCATCACATGGTCCAATCCAGTCACAGCCCCAACCTCAGTTGGTTCCATTCAGAGATGGCATTCAGCAGGTTCTGACCAGTTCTGGAGAACCGGTAGCGGAAATTTTGAGTAGTTCAGAGAACCAGCAAATACCAACTCTGACTGGCCCCGCCTCCATCTATTCTCTGCCTCCCAAGTCCCAGCTGATCGGCTGGGTCTTCTTTGGTTGTCCTGCACAGCAGAATGGAGCTGGACAGCAGGTTAATGGGGTGGGGATGAAATAGGATTTTGCAGTATCCTGCCCCCAGGAATGAGGAGGGAATGGAGATTTTACGGTATCCTTCCCCTGTCTCGCTCACTAAGCCTTGCCCACCAAGCCACACCCACAGAACTGGTAGTAAAAATAAATTATTTGTAGTTCAGAATTAAAATGAGATGTCCTTGGTGTTCTCTAAGCTTGGTTCTTCATCAAGGGCTCACACACACACACACACACACACACATACAATCAATCAATCAATGATATTATCAAGTTAGTGAAATGAAAAAAAAAATCCAGATAAACCAACTCCTTCTGGAGTTTCAGGTGAAATATTATTTAACATTGCTGGATTCAGAAATGGCTTTTTGAGGAGGGACCAGACGTGGTATTCAGCAGGTTCTGACCAGTTCTGGAGAACCAGTAGTGGAAATTTTGAGTACTTTGGAGAATCGGTAAATACCACCTCTAATTGGCCCCACCCCCATCTATTTACTGCCTCCTGAGTCCCAGCTGATTGGCTGGATCTTCTTTGTTGCCCTGCCCAGGAGAACAGAACTGGAAAGCAGGCTAGTCAGTGGGGGAGGGAATGGAGATTTTACAGTATCCTTCCCCTGCCACACTCACCAAGCCATGCCCAGAGAACAGGTAGTAAAAATATTTGAATCCCACCACCGGGAGGGACTACTGCTGTTTCCTTCAAAGCAAGGGGGGCTGCTCTCTCATTCATGAATGAAGCC